CTCCTTTTCATCCAGCCACCTGGATGATTCTGGAGGCACAATGTGGCCATGACTCTTGAACGCATTGCTGGGTAGCCAGCATTGGCCAAAACTTCTTGGGAGTTTTCAAAGGCAGGACAATACAATGTTCAGTTTCTCTGCACAGCTACCAAAGAACTCTTGGTTGTTTCAACTTAACTGTATCCCTTAAGTGCCTCTTAACTCTGACCTTCAATCCCCTTTTACTATCCTGTCATTATGCTTCTGCTCTCTCAAGTGCAGTGAAGTGCAGAGGCTCTGATATTATGCATTCATGCCTTCTGACACTCAATAAATGTTTATAGAACATCTTAAATCTTAACTCTCACTTACACATCTTAAAGTCTCGGTCTTCTTTTTTGTCCTTTTCTCTTTTCCAGTGGCTCCGGTTTATTCTTTATGGCAATGTTTTTCAAGCTCTGATCCACTCCCTTTTTTCCACTCATTTGGTGGTCTTTCCTGTTTTGCTGTGGATCATGTAATCTGTTGTGCTGCTTAGAGATTCCTTGATGGATTCTTGCATGGTAGAAATTAAAATGAAATACAACTTTTGAGAAACAGTTCATATAAAATGCAAGCTTCACCTGCACCTGTTGCTTGCAAATAATTTGATCTGCTTATTAAAGAGATGATGTCTACTGCAAAGGGCTGGATACTTTTTGCTGAAAATACAAGTTCCATTATAAAAATGTCTCAAGGTTGCCTATGTAAATATAACCATTATGCTACCATTTAGTCAAGTTTGGTGAGTCTAGATAATCTTAGTTGCAGAAGTCATGCTGTGAATAAAACCAATGATTAGTTGAGCACTTATTATGTGCAAGGCGTATGAAATATACGAAGAAATGCAAGATTTTCTTGCCTTCCTGGAAGAGCTTAAACCTCATTGTAGAGACCTATACATATAGAAGGAAGTTAATAATTCAAACTGAAGTGGCCTCTCAGTCATTCAGGTGTTAAGTGCAGTAGGAAAGCAGAAAAAAGAATGATTATTGATGGCCAGAATCATCGGAGAAATATAGGGGCAAAGGGCATTTCCCCATATTTAATTAGACTCTTTTTGGAGCCAGTAGACATTACTTTTGCAGACAGTTAACTCTACCGATAGAAAACACTCAAATTACTCTATTTATGACTTCTTCATCACTTGAGACAGTTTTATTTTGAATTATTGTTGGACATTTTCCTCCTTTTGTTTCTTTTTAAATTGAGAGCACATTTGACCAAATTAATTGCTTATTTGTTTCCTTGGAAGATATGTCATTAAAATTTCTTCTTCTAGGAACTAAGTCCTTATTTTGGGGTTATGTGTTCTTTTTTATTGTTAATCATGAATTTGATTCATTGCAAGCTAATTATACTTATTGTAGGAAAAAGGAGTGACTGACATTGTAATGAAAAGGCTATGTGTCTTAAAATCAGATGGACCTGAGTTTGAATCTTGCTATATGACTTTATTCAATTTATTTAGTGTTTTAGCCTTT